TTCAATACTTTACTTATGAACTGTATTTTCGTCACAATAACCGCATTAGAAACACAAAGTAATATATATATATATATCAACAGAGAATGCAGGCGTAAACTGCGTTGTATACTGTGTATATACACCGCTTATGTGAATGTACTGCGTTGGGAAAACACAACATTATGAGACACCAAGTCACTCTAGTTCGCGATCCTTTCCAATGTTTAGATCGAAGTTCCTAAAACATGATCGTATTACCCAATCATCAACCTACTGAACTCCTAAGAAGTCGTAATATAGCCTGAATATCAATGATGCCTAATGTATCTGAGTTTACACTACTGAGTGATTACAANTGCGATATCCAAATATATTAGGTGATCAGGTCAAAGGTTGATGGGTTGTGTTTGAACGCAAGAATATCAAATGTCTATTCTAGAGAAATGTTGTCCCTTCATCGGACACAAGCTTTGTGTCGTATATGGGGATTTTACAGATATCATTTTAACCAAAGTGAAGAAAAGTGAAGGCTACTCAAATAATTATTTAGCATAATTTGCAAACGAATTTTCTTTTGTTTCACCAAGTGAAATGTTTAGTTTTATATATATTTTTTGCGCTTTACTAACAATCTCGTATATACACAACGCAAATGTTATCTTGTTCCGGACACGCAACATCATACTACGCATATTATACACACTTCCAGAAGATTGTACTCTCATCATTACAAGTTCATAAAAAAACAGACGCAGAATAAAAATGTTCTCTCCATTTTATTTCTCCTTAGGGATGGGTTTCAGGTTCGTATCAGGGGTTTGGGACAACCGTTCCAGCATTGGATTCATAACCTATTCTGTTTGATGTCCAGCTAATGCTCGGAGTGTAGTCGAGCGAGAGTTCACAACACCTAGGAATACGTAGCACAGCACGAATGTTTATTGCCGAGAACCGAGCATTTCTCACAATCCTCCATCCAGAACAAACTCAGTGGGGGACCCAAGGTAGATCAATCGAAAGGACAGAGATGGGTTGACCATTTCCGCTCAACTACTACAAGTGGGCGAAAAAAGAAAAAAACAAATACAATAATCCGGCGAATTTCGCTTTTTCTGTTTTGTCACTTTCATCCTAAACAATGTGTTGGCCATGAATTTTCCCGGTTTTTATGGTAGCGGAAATAGCACAGCTTGAAGTATTTTGCCAAAAAAACGTATCCAAGCATTAACTTCCACTGGGGACATTTCCGAACTAAAAATGCATAGTAGCAAGCACAGAATTACCAGATACAGTGATTTGACATTTTTCCGTTTCTGTTTTACTTGTCTGGCTGTTTTAAACATTTTAGCATTTTATTACAAGCTACTACAGCTTATCAAATTGAATAGATAACAGAGAAGATATTCCTTCTGGATGACATGTTGTCATAAGAATGCCTGGTCTCCAGTAACCTCAACCGGGTGGTCTTGTTGACTTGGAGCTCAGTCAATTTGAAACATTGATGGAGGTTGTCAAAAAATGAGCAATCAAACAACTTCTTCTTGGTCACTATAACAACGCATAACTGACTCCATGCTTCACTAAAAAAAGGGCTGGGTATTACGTGAAGGCAAATACATGCTTATCGAATAGTTTGACTGAAACGGATTAGGTGCAAAACGGGAAGGCAGGGGTTGACTGGCCAAATAGTTAACTAATTGGGTGAACCGCGGTTAGCATTCTAGAAAGATAAACAATCTCCTATCCGTAAAATACAACTCCTTTGATTATGTGTCATTGATTTGGCTTTATTCAGATAGAATAGTGATAGGGTTATTCACACTGTCTTTGTTAATATTGTATAATACACACTGCCATGGGCACGTTTTTCGCACCGTTTGTTATCCTTATCCTTATCCATTCACGCTCACATGTTTTTGAGTAACAAAGGGAGTGAGGAAGTTGCTGTGCCTATACTGATCAGCAGAAATAGCGATTAGTGTATGAAGGTGTTCTTAAAAATAAAACCCTTGCTTTCTTTAATCGCCAACCTTATTTGACTTCATTTATCATGCAAGCTAGTATTCTATGTTCTGGAAGCCAAACCCTTTTTCACCGGTATATATGTTTTTGATCAGATTATCGGGAACAGATTCTCGTAATGAAAGAAATATTTGAAAATGATTTATCTCGTCTGAGTGTCAATGAAAGAGCTTCTCTCTGAGCTGTTTCATCCGTACACCAATTATTGACGATGCATCTCTCTCTGTTTTGATTCGCTGTCGGAAGTGCATATTTAAAGGTTTTAACCGGTGCCAATAGACTGCATGAGATAGTGCTACTGACTGGTTCCTCGTCAACAAAGTGTAGTGCTCATTTCCCTTTGCGCCAAACTCACGAAGGCCAAACACTTGAATTGCAATTCAATGTTCAATGTTCAATGTTGTTCAATTAGAGGCAGAGGGTAATTTCCCGTATGAGCCTCATCACCACA